CCGCACAAAGATTGTTTTTGCTAAAAACGAAATTTGCCTTTATGTTTCTGATGTTGAAAGTATTGTCAATGTGAGTGGCATGAAGAGGGTTCGGCTACTTTGCTTTTAGTTTCTATACCAATATTTTAGAAGCTGAAAGAATTTCACAGTATTATAAATCTCCAAACAGAAGTACACCTGAATATTGAAATTTGTAAATATTACCCCTATGAATTTTTATTAAAATCACGATATTGCACAAAGGTGCACTTTCTTTCAAATGACCGTTTCTAAGAGTTTTGCACTCACTATATGCATATTTCTTTCAAAGTTTGTTTTATCACGAATTACTTTAAATCTAAACTTTTGATTTAAAAATTTAATAACCTTAAAATATTTACATAATATACTTTTGTTATTTTTCTAAAATGATTTTTGAATGATGAAAATGATTGATGATTGATGATTTGATGAATAATGATTTGTAAATGATAAACAGTATGACAAATTGAGTAAAACGCAGTAATACGTGTCCGGACAATTTCAATATCGATACACGACGGCAACCACATACCATCATGCATATTTCTAATTCTTATTCGGATTATTCCCTTCTAATTAAACTTACAGGAATGTTCCTGCAATGGTATGGGCGTACCATGAGAAATTCGGATGAGCGATTTCCAAACTCGTTAGGGATAAAAAGTGCCCAGACCCTAATTAATAAAAATATTAGATATTTAAAAAGCCTTCCAGATATCTTCTAAAATATAACCCGGACTCGACGACTATCCGTAACATATTATTTGGCACCCACTAAAAGGAGAGCTGCCTTAGATTTGAAGAAAGGCTCGAAGATGAACAATATATTGCCTGCATAATGAGAAACATATTAACAGTTTATTTGCTCAGCCCCTAGACGTTGTTGGAAATTAGCCTTTATCTCCGACAACATAAGTAATTGACAAAACGTTATATAACTAAAAATATGAGAAAGATATCATGGTAGTTAAATTTAATTAACTGCAAAATAAAGAAGGCAAAGTATTTCAAAACTATTTTCATCTTGATGTAGTGAAATTCGAAACAAGAGTCCTATTTTCAGCTTTCAATATGGAAAGTGCTTCTTTAGTCTTGAAGTGATAATTGATTGCCTCCCCGGTCACCATCTTTGCCGAACCCGTCGCTTATGACGAAGGGTTCGGCAAGTAAATTAACCCATAGACTGAGTTTCACTGAGTTTCTCACCGGATCTTCGCAATAGGTCGCGTTTCCGATCCGGTGGTAGATTCTGCGAAGCACGGCTCTTGCTAGGGCCAGTATTAGCAGCACTCCTGTTTGAGTCCCGAGAGCTCACCTATGCGCTAGGATAAAGCTGATATAGCCTCCCAAGGCTATCAGCATAGGTAGAAAAACAAACATCGCCTTTGATGGAAATAAAATCACCTTTACTAATTTATCTCACGACCGTTATCGTAAATTTGTTTTGAATTTCACAAAATTCAGTTTATTATACATGAATTTAGTGAAACAAAATTGACATCAAGTAGATTTAAGAATCAAAGGAAGCATTAGTCAAATGAGTAACTCAAGATTTAATTCGCTGAAGGACTGCAATATAAATTATTTATTTGGAAAGATGTTCCAACTGGGAGTGTGCCGGGCGGTGCGGTGAGGCGGAGCGGTCGCACTGACGGACTCCATGCTCAATACGAGTAACAGATGGAAAATACTACTTCAATTAGATTGCTTAGGATGTTCGTGAAAAATGACGCCTCGACTTTCACTTGATGTTATTACTACGCAGCCATGCAATCGATCTGCGTATGAGCTATTTTAATCGAAAATTCATAAAGTAGAGAGATTAAAAATTGTAGTAGCAAGAACCGCGTACTTCACTTTGTGACTTCAAGTTGAAAGATGCATTTTTAAACGTGCCACTTGTTTTAGTTTGATGTTTCAAGGCAATACACAAAATCAATTCAAAACTTAGTGTATTTTAACGAGTGTAGTTTTGTTACTGATTTTAGGCATGTTCTAGTTATATGAGGTTGTTTTTTTTTATTGCCCTTTTAGGCAGACGAGCATACTGCCCACCTGATGGTGAGTGGTTACCGTCACCCATGGACTTCAGCAATGCCAGGGGCAGAGCCAAGCCGCTGCCTACCGCAATAAGTTCTGTGACCTATTTCTAGAAAAATAATACAATACTATTTGCGAAAATATTATTTATTAAAGGTCTTAACAATTAAGGTTAAAAAATGTCTTAACTCAATTTTTTTTTCCTTTTTATAGCCTTAATTTGGATAAATAAAAACCGTGTGTTCACTGAGATTGCCTTCATCTGCACTGCGTATTGATCAAACCTAATCGGACAATCAGCATAAGTTTCCATGAGATCGATACATCAAACTTCATTCCGGAACAAGCCCGGAGTCCTGTTAGCTAATCAGTACACAGACCCATTTCAATGAACGGCTCCTTGTCTTCATCTCATCTGCATAATAATATTACGCGGGTGTCTTGTTATGTTAACCTCGAGTGCGTGTTGTCAGCGGGGGGAGCATGCGGCTTGTATAATATGTAGGGCATTGAGAATGGCATCTATACTAATACCTACATAAATTCTGTCACATGTTTAATGTAAAATAATTGAAACAAGTTTATTCATTATGTAACCATTCATATACCAAAATGAATATAACAATACATAGATTCTTATAACACTAAAGTTTATTCAAAATGACCTCCGTGATTTTGTATACAGGCCTTCAATCTGCGCGGCCAGTCGTCTATCGCAGCACGAACGAGGTCCATGTCAAAATCGGCGGCTGCCTTAATCAAGGATGTCTTGAGTGACTCCAAATTGGGATGAGGCTTTGAGCACGCCTTTTCCTCCAAGTGTTGCCATATCTTGTAATCTAACGGATTCAAATCTGGACTGGAGGAGGGCCAGTCTTCGTGCCGGATGAAGTCGATTTCACGCGCCGCCAGCCAGTCTTGTGTGCTCTTCGCTCTATGAGCTGGCGCCGAATCTTGTTGAAATACCCAGTGCCTGTTATTGAACAGGTATGAGAAACAGGTTCCACAAGGTTCGTCAGGACTGTATTTTGATACACAACTGCATTCGTTTTTACACCTTTCTCACAAAAATGTGAGGTACATGTTAAGCCCCAATAAGAAACTCCCAACCATACCATGAGCGAGGATGGAAAATGACCTCGTTGGACACGCGGAATACGGTTGCTCGCTTCTTCACTACTGTATGCGTACACCTTATCATTTTGTTTGTTGTAGCTCTCTTCTACGGTAAAAATTTTTTCATCCGTAAAAAGAATTTCCCGATATTTTTTTCCCGCGTACCGCTTCAACAAAGCGCGGCATCTCTTCAGTCTCAGGTCCATTAGACGAGCATTCAAACGATGTCCTGTTTTTCTTCGATATTCCCGAAGTCCTAAGTCTTCATTTAACACCCTTTTCATCGTAGTTCTGCTTAACTCCATCTGAAGGGCCAACAGTTTCTGCTTACGTTTGGGATTTCTTTGAATTCGCGCCTTCACAGCTTTTATCACTGCTGGAGTCCTAACAGACCGAGGGCGACCACTTCTTGACCTGTCATCTACACTAGAGTCTTCATTGTATCGATTGATGGTACGATAAACGAATCTTTTGGTTATATTCAATTTTTTCAGTATGTTAAAAATTTGAATTGGCGCGTAACCGCAACGATGCAACGCAATAACTGCAACACGGTCTTCTTTAAGCGTCCACTCCATATTTAAAAATGAGTAAAATTCTAAAAGTATACATTTTTATTTTCATGAACAATTCGAAATTCGAATTCAATAAATTTTTTGTGGCCAGCATTCTAAAAGAAAAGTTTTTACTGTGTGACAGTACTTATGACCTGACTAGTTATATAAATCTACAGTGGTGTTTACGGATGTTCCGTTATAACTACTGAACCATACATCCGATTGACTTGTAACTTGGAATCCATGTAGAAAATACATGTACTTAATGGATAGGCTAATATTTTTATAAGTATTGGACTCCCTAATAATAATGACAATAAATAATAATGTTATTTTTTAATTCCCAGCGAAGTGGGCGAGAACGGCTAGTTTTATATATTTTTAACTTATTGACATGTCCACATATGACAAATGGACAAGAAGCTGACAGTCCGGCCGGAGGGGAGCTACTGAAGCTGATAGAAATTGTAACGTGAGAAAGTTGCTTTTCAAAATAAAGGATTTTCTTAAACTTAATGAACCAATAAACGGTACTAGAAACAAAGAAAACATAATGTATTTTAATTTTTTTTTATTGCTTAGATGGGTGGACGAGCTCACAACCCACCTGGTGTTAAGTGGTTACTGGAGCCCATAGACATCTAAAACATAAATGCGCCACCCACCTTGAGATATAAGTTCTAAGATCTCAGTACAGTTACAACGGCTTCACTGCTTTACGGCAGAAATAGGCAGGGCGGTGGTACCTACCCGTGCGGACTAACAAGAGGTCCTACCACCACCAATTACGCAAATTATAATTTTGTGGGTTTGATTTTTATTACACGATGTTATTCCTTCACCGTGAAAGTCAATCGTGAACATCTATAGATAAATTGGTACCCAGCTGGGATTCGAAAACCGATGCATCGCTCAACACGAATGCACCGGACGCCTTATCCTTTAGGCCACGACGACAACAATCCGAAAAGTTGTTAGCTTGGATCTTGGAGTACCGAGTTCATTGAATCAATCACTATTTCTGTGCCATAAGTACTAATGGATTATTTCATAAAATCACAACTTAATTTCTAGTTACTGTAATATATTCTTGTATAACACTGTACTATTGTGTGTGGGGGCGAGTGGGAGGGACGATTGGGGGGCGAGTGGGATGCGGGTGGGGGGGGCGAGTGGCAGCGAGTGGGGGCGAGTGGGGGCGAGTCGAGGGTGAGTGGGGGCCGAGTGGAAGCGAATGGGGGCGAGTGGGGGTGAGCAGGGTCTCACCCAGCAGCAGAGTGTAGGGCAGCACCAGCGAAACCGAGTCCACCTGCACAGCGTTCACGTCGACGAGGAGCTGCAGGATGTTGTACGGGAGCCAGCACAGCGCGAACAGGACGGCCAGGAGCAGGAGGATCAGCGCCACACGCTTCCTCTCTCGCACCAGCCGAAGGCGCTGAAACGTTACCGCTAGTTAATTATTTACCTTGGCCCAGTAGATGAACTCAGAGTCCTCCACAATCCTGCAATATCTTCTGACGTTGACATTTATGTACTAACGATAGATACTCTTAACTTAGCGGTAGGCAGCGGCTTCGCTCTGCCCCTGGCATTGCTGAAGTCCATGGGCGACGGTAACCACTCACCATCAGGTTGGCCGTATGCTCGTCGGCCTACAAGGGCAATAAAAAAAATAAAAAATACTCATATTCACCGTGAGTGATTTTACTGCCAGTAGGGCGTGATGCCTAATTGACTATTTCTGCAGCGAAGTGCACAGCGGTGAGAGACTCCGACCGTACGTCTAAGCTTGAGTGACGTTGTGTCGTCTACGTGCTCCTAACAACTTAGCACCAGGTGAGTCATACGCACGTTCATAGTTATGCAGTAGATATATAAATAAAAATTCGATCAGAACGTCAGTTCCAAAGTGTACGGCGATACAACTGAAAATGAGATACATGTTGTCATGTTCACTTTTGCAAGCACATTTAAAATGGAAAGAAGTCGTTGATTGAACTAACTTTAATTATGAGACCTAATTATTATTTTTTCTCCTACCTACGCCGAAAGTTCGGTTTTCCTCCCGCTGTACAGGGAAGAAAGTGTAACTTTTTCTCCCTGGGTACAAGTACGCATGCGCGTTAGTGTCTACGTCTGCTCTCACGCACCTAAAATTCTCCGCCATCGTTGTACTCGGGTAATTTGCAATATTGTGTTTAGTGTAAAAGTGAAATAAACAAAAGGCAATAAAATTTAATAGTGAAGCTACAACAAAGATGAGTTCATCAGACAGCTCTTATTCGATTATTAGTAGTTAATTTAAAAATTAAAAAACAGTTGAATTGTTTTTTTACGAGTACAGGGGGGTTGCGCCCCCCCCTATCCCCGGCCAGGGCTTCGCCCCTGGATCCCGGCTCGGTACTCCACGAACTTTCAGCCTGATAGGAGAAAAACTTGTATGTGCACCGCGGGAGAAAAGTTGGACATTTCCTCCAGCGTGTTTGAAACGCCAATTTTACACGCGGGAGGAAATCTCCAAAATTTTATCCCTTGGTGCACAGTGTACTATTTTATTACCCCTGTAGGCAGACGAGCATACGGCCCACCTAATGCATGTGGTATTGTCGGATATTGAAATTTTTTGAACTTTTGTCTGGGCTGGGTAAGTTGACCTGGGTAGATAGCGACCCGTGTAGTCCCCAGACTGCATCAGGTCGGCGGTGTGCCCGCCTGCCTACCAGAGCAATAAAAGTATTCATACAACAATAATTCCGACCCGAATCCACGCTCCGATCGTAAACGCCTTTATGACTCGTAAAAACACTTTTAATTTCTCTATATTATTATACCTGATTTTATGGTGGAATGAGGAGTTATAAAAATGTTGTGACCCGGCCAATAATTTGAAGGAAATATTTTAGTTTCTTCTTGTTTTAGCCCAGTGCCGTTATTATTGTATCACCAAACAGTTTGGTCAAGTTGTGTGCGTTGTTAATTCATAAGAATAACACAGTCTGAGATCGACCTCACAGTCAACGTCGTCTCAACACGTTAAGTTGTTGCTCGATATCTGTTCGTCCAATTAAACAGAATGATCGTTATGCCTTTTATTGAACAACCAACACAGGCAATGATATAGACTTTTGATGTACGACTAAGCAAAGAAAAACTTATTCAAATTGGTATTGCTTGTATGTTGATAAATGTTTGTCTTTTGTGTATTTGACTGTGAATTTTTATTTAAAACAAAATCTTTTTTCATTGCCAACTCAAAGTCAAAGAAGTCAATGTTAAATTACATTGACTTCTACGTTATTAATGAAGATATCAATATACACAGTAAATTTCTATGTTACGTGTATTTATAGGCACTCCGAGAGTCATTTTATATCAACATTATTTTCGCTAACTGCGTCGTGCCTATTTGTACTCGCAACGAGTACATTGACCCGGGTTATTATTGTAATTACCCTGGTCTGTTTCAGCCGCTAATTGAACGCACATTCTCGAGTCGACTGTGGAAATTGTACTAAAACGTTAAGCTCAGATATTCTATTAGCAATTCATTGAGACTTGTGACGTGGCAAAATTCATTTTTATTTTTATTTAAAAAAAGCAACGAACTTAACTTAATTTTACCTAGGTTTCTTTTCTTCTTTAAAATTTCTGTGTTATTAGTATCAGAGACGGAGCATATGAGATAAGGATGTTACCAATTATCTTTTTATAAAGAAACTGACTGAAAGATTTTACCGCTTAGGAGCGTTTCTTTAGACCTTCAGATAAAAGTGACATCCTTGACGTGAAGGAACGGGCTTCGAGAAAGCTACTAAGCGAAAATCTTTCACCGAGCGTGTGAACTTGCAATTGTACAGAAAATATATATGTACATACCTAACACATTCTATCAACGACTTCCATGTCCTATGATCTCTGGTCTACAGCTCCCTTATTTAGCTCTAGATTATAAATTATATGCTTAAAATGCATAGTGTCGAGCAAAGATATGCCCAGCCAATACAAATATTACATAATTTAATATAAAGATTTAAAAGATAGAGGAAAGGTTTATTACCTCACTACAGATGCTTCCAACTGTCAAAGCCTTGGGTATATTATAGAAAATTTTACTGATGTTAGGACTTCTTGTGAGTCCGCCCGACTAGGTACCACCACCCCGCCTATTTCTGCCGTGAATCAGTAATGCATTTCGGTTTGAAGGGTCGGGCAGCCGTTGTAACTATACTGAGACCTTAGAACCTATATGGGTGGCGCATTAACGTTTTAGATATCTACGGGCTCCAGTAACCACTTAATAACCAGGTGGGCTGTGCGCTCGTCCACACATCTAAGCAATAATAAAAAAAAAGTTGAGAAAAGGTACGATTTCTAATTCATAAAAATACCTGTTGACTGTTAGCACTGCCTTCAGTTTGATCGAAAGGTGGCAGCACGGAGCACAGCCGCCGGCCCATCAGAGAATAAGAGACCACCACGATACATCCTGTTGAATAAAAGTATTCAGATACAGGGTCGGTAAAATAAACGACAATTGCTATAAATTAGAAAGAAAAATCGGTTGTCTGTAAAGTCAGTTTACTGACGATAGTTGAACGTGACAACGTCATAAGAAAATACTGATGGAATGGTTTCATTTTTCAAAAGAAAATTTTAATTTTATTTGTTTGATAGATATTTTGTATGGACAATTGACACCACATTCACTTTTCACTGAACTTCATACTTGACGAAAACATGTAAATGTATTATTGTATAGCAGCTGTCCACGCGGATGNTGACAACGTCATAAGAAAATACTGATGGAATGGTTTCATTTTTCAAAAGAAAATTTTAATTTTATTTGTTTGATAGATATTTTGTATGGACAATTGACACCACATTCACTTTTCACTGAACTTCATACTTGACGAAAACATGTAAATGTATTATTGTATAGCAGCTGTCCACGCGGATGCATCGCTCACTCAAGTAGGAGAGAGACAGCAGATGTCGAACGCTGCCGAACGCGGAGGCCGATTGTACCTCTTTGTCACTCGTTGCGCGCTCTCGCTTGCACTTCAAGCCTTGAATGGAACGCCTCAATGAGTCATGTTTTTTAGTGCATGCAGCCGGCTCCATCGAATTATAAGACGTTGTCACGTCAAAAAATGTTTTACTCTAGACTACCCCTTTTTTTTAACGCTGCGAGATTCATTTACGGATACTCGGTCAAGGAGGGTAACGAATCGGGTTATGTCGGACTCCGGCGCCTCCCGAGAGGAAGAAGGCGACGAGGAGAGCCAAGGTCCTCTACCTCCCCCAATTCCTCGGAGGAGACTACGCCTTGAAAAAGGCGCGCGAATAAATAGGGTAGTCTACTACCCTAGAGAATATTATAAGTTTATTGGTATACACAAGCGCCCCTGTATCGACTCAAATATCATCGAGCAACGTAAGGTCGGTAAAAACAAACGTAACAAAATAAAGAAATCAATATATCTAACAAGTAGCTGAGACGAAATTCAAAGTTAAGTGCTCTTTACATCAGCGTTTACGAGTCAACGTGCGGCTGCGACACGCGACACACAGCACTACCAATATTCCTGCAATTGATAAAATAATGAAAAAACTTGAAACATGAGGTCTTTTTTGCCACGTGTCATCCGGCTATGGAATAAGCTTCCCTCAACGGTGTTTCCCAAGCGCTATGACATGTCCTTCTTTAAAAAAGGCTTGCGGAGAGTATTAAGCGGTAGGCAGCGGCATGGCTCTGCCCCTGGCATTGCTGAAGTCCATGGGTGACGGTAACCACTCACCCTCAGGTGGGCCGTATGCTCGTCTGCCTACAAGGGCAATAAAAAAAAACATGAAAGCTTATAAGAATAAATTTTATGAAAACTAAACTCGACTTTAGTTGGAAAACCCTTAATTCTAATACATAAAGAGAAACGTCTACAAACGACCGGGCACCGAACAAAAGAAGAGAATAAATTTAGTTTTAATAAAGGTGCGATTCCCGCTGTCTGACTCAAATAAAGGCTACTTCAAAGGATATTTGTTCAAACGATGTGCGAGACCCACTTATATGATTTTAAAGCATACAGAAATTCACTATACCTTTTCATTATAACGTTTTGTTTTATTCGTGGTACGCATGAGTTGTAACACCATCCTAACGATTTTTGTTCCGGTTTGAAAAGGGACATAAACGCCATACTATTCAATTGAAACTTGGAGCTCAATGTCAAAATGGGCGAGGACAATTAGGCTGTGATGCTTATCGGCTCCCTCCCTGAATCCAATTGGCTGTTCACCCATGAATGCATCAAAGAAAACGGTTTAGAGAAAATGGCACATATTGCAAATAGAAAGGCCAATAACTGTAGTACTAGGCAATTCTTACCTTTATAGGTGCATCCTAATTTTTGGATCAGAAGGTCTAATTCATCAGTAAAAAATATGTCACTTGAAACTTAAGCATCTCATACATCCTGATCATCCTCTTTGGCTAATCCATTCACACTATTGACTAGGAAAATTCTTCAAACTTCAGTATCAGAAAATTACTCAGGATAACTCCATAGCCTTGCTGTTTCATCACATCAAGTTAATATGAACTCGAGCTGTATCTGTTCTCGGCAGGCTCTACCCAATAATCTGCAGGTGGAATACCTTTGTAGGACTCTCTTCAAAATGTTCAATCTCGCTTTTGTAAGCATCGAAACGCGTAAGATTTTAGATGTCTATGGGATCTAGTAACCACTTAACACCAGGTGGGCTGTGAGCTCGTCCACACAACTAAGCAATAAAAAAAAAAAACAATTAAAAAAACTCACGCAGCAGCTAGACACTGTCGAAGCTTTGCACAACACACTATTGAGTACACATCGTTTATAGGAATACTTAGACTTAGTAAAATATTTATTTAGAACAAGACGTGCTCTGCGGCTCTGCCTGCGTTAAATTAATAATTCAGAAAGCATGAAAACCGTTGCATTTTCCCAAAAAGGAGTTGTTACATCACTACCATAGATTAAACACTTAATATATTTGAGAATCACTACACTACCAGCTCATACACTACCAGTCGCTTTGTAAATTTGTACAGAAAATAACAAACTTTTTTTTTTAATGGTAAAGAGATTCGAATGTCTCGGATCTATCTACCGTAATAAAAAATATCAAAATAATATGCGTAAATCCATAAACTAAAACTATTTTTACGTGAAACTTCATCTTAATCTGCTTAGCCATTTTTGCGTGATTAAGTAACAAATACTCAACTTTCATATTAATAGCGTAGAAAGTTTAAATGATTTTGTTTCGCAAATGAGTGCTATTCTACTTTACCTCACTTTCAAAGTTCAATTTGACCAAAAATTATATCCAGCCGGTATCGACATCAAAATCAATAAAACAACAATGTTGAAACTGCGAAGATTTGATTAAATCTCGAGTCGTTCACAGATCTGACTTGAAGTATTAATTTTCGACACTTTGTGGAGCCTTCGTGAAATCCTAATTGAATTTTCTAATTTTCCTTCAATTAATTACTTTGAACATGTAGCTTTGTACGAATTATACTTTGTTATTGTTTTGACAATAGATAGTCAAACTTTAGCCATAACAAAGAGCCTGCACGGCTGTGCTTAGATGGGTGAACGAGCTCACAGCCCACCTGGTGTTAAATGGTTACTGGAGCCCATAGACATCTAAAACGTAAATGCGCCACCCACCTTGAGATATAAGTTCTAAGGTTTCAGTAAAGTTACAACGGCTTTACTGCTTTACGGCAGAAATAGGCAGGGCGGTGGTACCTACTCGTGCGGACTAACAAGAGGTTCTACCACCAGTAATTATGCAAATTATAATTTTGTGGGTTTGATTTTTATTACACGATGCTATTTCTTCAGCGTGGAACTCAATCATGAACATTTGTTAAGTACATATTTCATTACCTAAATTGGTATCCGCCTGCGGAATTCGAACACCGTTGCATCGCTAGATACGAATGCACCGGACGTCTTATCCTTTAGGCCACGACGACTTGTAAAACTTACTAAAACACTTAGAACTCATAAAAAAAATTGTTAATTTAAAAAATCTAATCAGAAGTCATGACATTAAAATTAAGTCGATAATACTCGTAGTTAATAAAAATCGTAGCACTCTCTACAATTGTTACGGTCTACGAAATTTCGTAGCCATTCGTAGCTGTTTCGTATTCAATAAAATTCAATTGATCCTAGGTACATTAAAAAAAGAAATTTAATATTTTGGTACAAAGATGCTTTCGTGAAAGTTTTTAAATAAAATATTTAATGGTTTCGTATAAAGCAAACCTAAATGTAACTTATAGATAGTATAGCACTGCCAAAACACGTGGTAATAGTTTAAATATTTGTGGTTTGAAAACAAAAGAAACTAGGCTTTTAGAAAGACGATTTAAAAAATTTAAGCAAATTTCCCGATTAGAAATTCCTAAGTTGGTGAAAGCCAAGCTTCCAAAATTCGTACAAAGATACCGATTAAGCCAACAAAAGCGTGTTCGAAAAGTTCATTCAGCATAAGATCCGGGGACCTTGAAAGTATACAGTACATTAAAGCATAATAATGGTTCGAAGTAGAATCTATATTTGTATAGCTTATATAATATATAATAGCTTTATGTACAAGCTAAAATTCTTCTTTTTTATACGGCCCACCTGATGGTGAGTGGTTACCGTCGCCCATGGACTTCAGCAATGCCAGGGGCAGAGCCAAGCCGCTGCCTACCGCTAAAATTCATTCGGCTGTTATAGGTATTATGTGCACACGTCCCACTTATAACAAGTTGGCCTGCCGAATACTAAAAAAAAAAACTTTTAAAGAAAATCTTTATATATTTGTCGTGGATAATGACTTTTAGTAATATTAAGACGGTGGTTTTGATTATTATTTTAAATGATGAAATGTTGTTTTGATAAATATCACAAAATGAAGGGTAGACTCCGTAACGCCACAGTATAAAATGGCGGTACGTGGACAGAGTCGTGGCATTCGTGTCAGACAGTGATTCCGTCCGTCTCAGCAGTGAGCCTCTGACGGTCAGTCAGTCAGTCAGTCGGTCTGTCGGTATGTGCAACGAAACTGTCGGTTTATCCTGTCATTGTGAAAGTTGTGTGTGTTGAGTTTCAATAATTATTATTGAAAAGTTTTATTGACTAAACTGAGTTCAATCGAATACGAGCGATGACGGAACCTACCGCTCAGCCATCCCTGACGCCTGCCGACATCAGAAGTGAGATCAGGACTCTACTCTCACTGGCGTGACGTGTTTGAACATGTTCGAAGTACAGCAAAAAAACATGATGCAGATCAGAATACTCGTAGTGGTACGCCACAAGAGCGTGAATGCAGCATACGTAAGTCGTGTAATAACGTCTCTGTTACCTCGATGGAAGATCTGAGCCACGAAGAAATCGTCACATCTTACGTTCTGGCTCATGTTGCCCAGTTTGACTGTCGACTTCATCACATGGCATTTACTAGCGGAAATACAACACGTAACAAGCTATTGCAAGAAATTAAGGCAAGTGCAAATCTCAAG